CTATCATAGTTCCAAAGTACTATTTAAACTTCCATACTTAATTCATTGACTTCAGTTGGAATCCAATTCTAGTCCTATAGACTTTTATTTCTTGCTTAAAGCCTTAACGTATGACTAAAATTATCTGTCTCACTATGAAGGGTTGGTTTTATTGGTGGGTTCATGACGTTAGAGAACTTCCTTGGTGGTCTTTAAAGCAAGGAAATGAATGAAAATGATTAGAAACCAAATTTAGGTGAATTAGAGTTAAGATAATAATAATAAATTTATCTTCAGTATGTCTCATCAACCATATTCAGAGCGTTTTTTTGGAGAAACAATGAGTCCAGGTTTCAGTAATGAAAAGGGCCATCAACGCGCTATAGCTCATTAAAATATAAATGTATAATCATTAACCATCGTCATAACTTTAAAGTTTTAAAGTAGTGGAAGAAACATGTAACTCTTTGAACTTGCTACCTTTTAAGTGAAAGCTTGGTATCCACGGGCAGTGCCTGTGTGTGTCCTACGCAGAGAACGACCGGGTCACACTAGAGCCAAATATACGTCCGGCCCAATTCAACCACCTACACCTAATCCAAACCTGACCCAAACCAAAATGTGGCTGATCTTTAAAGTCAAGCTTGAATCATGACACTGATCACTCCCATTCCAGACATTCCAGTATCCATGCGCATTTGAGCCCTTGTGGTGCATGTCCTTATCATCAGCTCATGATCAAGAGGACTGCCTTCGTGTCGACCTGAGTTCAGTAGTAAGATCTTCTCCAGATCTGAACGGTACTCTCATATCACCTTGCGCGTGATCCACATGCGCACGCTATGTCGTTGCATAAGGCGACCTGTAAAATTCTCGAGACACGTACAAGTCAATTACCGTAATCCATCTTAATTAGTTCATGTATCTTTGCAACCTAATTATACACAAATGTTCTCTATTTTCGTTATATTTATAATGCGAACCAAAGGGTTTTTTTTTATAATGAACTATAATGCAAACTAAAGGTAACTGATATGTACTCCCAAAAGTAGAGAACAATCATCTGAAACTACCATTGTGATATATAAAAATAAGGAGACTCACAAAACAATGGCAGACCTTTATGAAAACTTTACGCAATAGTATGCTTTTCTATCGCACAAACATTCAATAATTTCCCACTATTCAGTCGTATTTTATGTGAGAAACATATTTTAGTATCATATTAGTATGCGTAGCATCCAAGTAACAATATCAAATATTATCAACCCCATCTCCCACCACCTAGAGAAACTAATGACCAAAAAAAAAATTCTCTTTCTTCGATCCTCATGATGAACTCACACTAGCTTTAAACATGGGCATCTTACAGAGCTTTATATATATGTTAATGATCAATTAGTATTTTTCTAGCTTTAGATCATTAGCACCATCCAACAAGTTGGGTTTCCATTAAAACTTCTACCTTTTGAAAGATAACTTAGTTTAAGCACATCCCATGCTTATATACCTAGGATCTCAAAGGTCTCCAAACTATCACCATCATCGATCCTAATTATACTCTAATCATCTTACATTAGCCAGTTAATCTTGTACCTAATAATAGTCATTAGTTTAAGGCAAGGGATTTGAGAGTGCGTTGCAAAATTGCAACGGGCGAAAGCCTGACACATATATAGGCGAGAAAAATTAATGATGATACTTGAGGAATAAGCATTTGGAGGTGTTTCATGTTCTACAATAAAATGTTTAGTTCAGTAAAGCTGCGATTGCATATTACTGGGATATTTTAGCTCAGTTGCAGGTGTTTGTTTGTAAACGCGAACATAATGGGATGTAAATTGCTTAGGCAGAAATAAACTCGGACAAGTCATAACTACAATTTTTTCCGGCTGCAAATGAGGTTGATATTATAATCCAATTACGGCCAACCCTGCTAGAAATCTAAAAATCCCCATATCCCATAACAAACGCCTACAACTACAGCTGTAAACTACAACATTCAAAACTGAACCAAATAATTGTAACTATAGTTGTGTGCGACGATAACTATAACAACTGCAGTTGCATGCCACTGACATTTACATTGTATAATTAATTATAGCCACAGTGAACCAAGCATGCATGCCATGAATAATTTGTGGCAACAGTTTGATAATGTCGCTTACTAGCTGATGTCTATAGCTATAATTAAACTAGCCAGCGAGGGAATTGATTCTACTTTCATCCATTTCCAAAGTTAGTTCCAAAATTTTCTCCATTATTCTCTTTCTTTTTCTTTTGCGCTTACACATAAGAGAGATTCCATCCACAGTACACCAACCAAGGCATTAGATTCTAGTTAGCCACCAGAGTGCATGCCATTTTTTTTAGTAAATTTACTAATGACACAGTCGGCAGTGATAGAGGATTTGAGAAACTCTTTCAATTATTTCAACCGAAGAGCATAAAGTCTCAACATAGATTTGTGATGATTAAACAATCAATGAAATGAAAAGATACCCCCCATAAAGATTTGATTTTGAATTCAACTTAGTGCAAGAGAGAATCAATGGACTCTCTAAACAAAGGGAAGAAAAATGCATGTTCATAGCTTTGATTCTCATGTAGCTCGTAGATAAGAATCTTGCTTCATAGAGTTATCTTTAGAAATGCCAAATGCTCTTATTGTACACTCACACTCTTCTTGTTCAAAAATCTTGTAGCAATCTTTACTTTAGAATCTTTCGAAAAAAGAGAAGCTTTATTCTCTAAGTAAAAGTTATACCATGTGGATATTACAAAATACGAGCATAGTTAATTTTAACTTTTTACAAGCACAGACGTGATGATGGAGACCATTTACTTATTAGGGACCAGGAACAAGGACTAAGTTTTAAAGAACTTGCATTAGTTAACTAATTAGTATGTCAACTTACTTCATTGAGAGGATAATCTAAGAATGATGCAAGAACCCATCAGTCCCTTCTGCTATCGAAGATTCAGAACTTTGAGCGGAATAATTAGGCAAATATGCAAAATCATAACAAAGATATTGTGATTCAAATTCTTCTAACGAATAATTCGCTAAATATGCAAAACGAAGGAAAAGATTATGGTTCCACCTATAATTACAGTTGCATTGGAATAGTTGTACATAAATGTTTGACTCGTTAGCATAAGTTTGCTTGTTGGGTAATTTTAGTCCCCCGTGTACTACGATCTCCGCAACTCGGAAGCCAACTCACAATCAACAAGATATAAAATAACCACAATCAAGAAGAAAGAACACCGAGATTTATGTGGTTTGGCCGACCAACTTCGATCAACGTCCACGGGGCAACAATACGAGAAATCCACTATGTATCAGGGAGAACTATAAGTGGAACCACTTAACCGTCGTCTCTCAATCTCTCAAACTCTCACATACATAATCAATTCTCATATTCTCTTCAAAACCCACTCCTTACAATCTTTTGAACGGACAAAGACTGCAAAACCCTCTCTCAATGATGCAATCTTTTGCACGAACAAATACTACGAAACCCTCGCCTCTCGCACAATATTCTTGAATCGGGCCACGCCATCTGCTAACCCTAGATTATAAGAATATTGGCTCTCTCTCATCTGCTTAGTTTTTCCTCCAACGATAGAAGAATATATATAGGAAAATCAAAATTATATCTCTAGCCTAACTTCCTAATTAGAATAGGATTCAAACTCCTAATCATGATGAGACTCAATCTCCTAATCATGATTGATCTTCAACCCTATCTAATTCTCATGAAGTTATACAAAGAATCAAAGACACAATCCTAACATTGCTGCGATATCAACTTCAAGTAATTCTCATTATAAACCAATCGTCCTGAATTATGGCGATTAATATCCTTGTCCACAAGATTGAAGTCACTTAGTTGGCATATCTATAGTTGATGGGATATTATTCCTTCGAAGATTTAATTTCTTGTTTAACTAACTATAAATGATTGGTAAATGGAGAGGTATAATAATGCTTTCATGATTGACCTCATTACATAGAGAATATAGGGTTGTCTAATTCATAATACATATACCTCACATGCAAAAATTTACCTCTAGCTCAGAAATAGTCCTCTTGAAAACTTTTTTTAATTGTTTAAATGACTTGTGTTCCATGCAACCTACTATACTAGTTTATATTCAACTTCATAAATAGATGGAGATAAACCCTACCTAGCTACTAATTGATATTAAATGAATCCATAGCAATTATATGGCTATAACCTAGACTTTTAATTGCGGATTAACCCTGTTGTCCTGAACCTACAATCCCTGCAATTCTAATTTTGCAGATAGAACCCTGAGGTGAAATTTTGTGGACCCTTCTGTACTTTCTCACTTAAACATGACCGTTGTCTAACTAGTCCACCCATCTTTGTCACCCATCAAACTTGTAAATTGGTAAGTCCATCGATCTTTTGATTAACAAAAGACTAGTATTCTGGTGTACGTGATGCGTGCATCATACAGAACCTACGGGAGTATTTTAGTCCAATTGTCTAGCGAACGAACATTTAATATTAGCCCACCCCCCCCAATGTGAAGACATTTTTGCTGATTTATTTCAAATAGGAGCGCATTTCTTGAATTCTAAAAATTGAGCTCAGCACCAAAACCAAAAAGTAGTCTTCTCTAAGGGGCTGTTTGGATTGATTTTTTGGATAGGTAAAAGAGGGGAAAACTGTCAAAAATATCAGCTTTTTGGCAGCTTTCCCCCAAAATCACCTCTATAAAAGGTGATTTTGGGGGAAAGCTGCCAAAAAGCTAACATTTTTGACAGTTTCCCCCCTTTTTACCTATCCAAAAAATCAATCCAAACAGCCCCTAACTAATACCATAGAATAACTAATCATTTGGTAATTAGTACTCAACTATGCGTGATTGCTTCACCTGTACTCAGTGTGAACCAAACATCAGCCCCCACTCAAGATGCCATAACATTTAACTATCACTGCGGCATCAGCCCCTGTCCCTCTCGTATATATCTATGTGCCAATGCAGCTACCTTCTTTGCAAATCAAACATCACCTAAATTAAAAATAAATAAATAAATAAATAACCCTCTCTCTCCTTCTCCTACCTCTGCAAATTAATTACCAGGCTATATCTCATCAATCATGCCGATTCCTACCCCAGGTACAAGCGAGGATTCACAGGACCAACCCTCGACGAACGCATCGGCAATCCAATATGCAGCCTCTCAAGGGCCCGTGGCTGCGTTATACCCGGTCACCCTCAAGGTAAGAAGATGTCTCTACACGAATTTTTTTTTATTATGGAGACGGAGTTAGTCGCCGATACGCCCCCTCCCCCCCTATACTTCTATTGTTGTAGATATACAGACCCCTTGGATTCTCAACTCCGTAATTAGTTCCACGATAACATTGAGCTCAATTGATTTACTTACTATAAGAAGGGAGGCGCTACAGGCATACCTTCGGGCACACCTCCGGCCACCCCCCTAGCTACAGTGCAGAGGGCCCCACTTGAGATTTTTTTAAAAATCTCAAATGGGGCCCCCTGCACTGTAGCTAGGGGGTGTGACCGGAGGCGTGCCGGTATCATTTTTCCTATAAGAAAGTTGAGAATCCAGGACGTCTACCTGCAGATTGCCAGGTGGCCGGCTATCGTTATTACTGTTTGTTGATCGAAAAGTTTCTTAGTGTCTGCGCACCTTATTCACACTCAATGCAGTTTGAGGAAGCAACGTACAAGGTGGGACAGAAGACCATACTCAGGGGCATAACCGGAATGGCCGGCCCGGGGGAGATGCTGGCGATGCTCGGGCCCTCCGGCAGCGGCAAAACAACCCTCCTCACCGCCCTCAGCGGCAGACTGAGCGGGAAACTCTCCGGCAGGATCACCTACAATGGGCAGAATTTCAACAGAGCCGTTAAAAGACGGATGGGCTTCGTCGCTCAGGACGACGTGCTGTACCCGCACCTGACGGTGACGGAGACGCTCGTGTTTACGGCGCTTCTACGACTGCCGAGGACGCTGAGCAGAGCCGAGAAAGTGTTGCAAGTTCGTGATCTCCTATCACCCCGTCTCTGTGTGTTTCTGTCTTCGTGAAAATATTAGTCTTCTTTAGGGGTAGGCCACAATATCCACTCTCCATCTGCATTCTGTTTTTCAAGAAACTCACTCAGCTAAAAAGACAGCTCAGTGCACAAGGCTCTCACCATTTTTGGAGGCTCTAAGAAGAGTCAGATGCACGTATTCTTACCCGCACAGATGGTGACGTTGTTTCTGAGATTCCGAACCCACCTCTAGGTCACAAGGCAGTAACCACATAGTTGCGCCTGAATTTGGATCCTCTCCACTACAAAAAGTAGTGGAGAGACCACTACTTTTAATCTCAGTCGTTGATTACTTAATAGATAGTTATGATACAATCTAAATCTAACACTTATCATACCCTCGTGTATTGCACTCATTCCTAATTTGCACTAAAAGAAAAAAAATCACAACCACCAACTAGACAATCAATGGTTGTGATTATGGAGTGGTCCCTCCACTACATTTTAGATAGTGGAGAGGATCCGAATCCGTTGTGCCAAGGCTCACCCTGTAGAAGGATAGCCCGTTGCACGAAGCTCCCATTATGCACGCGTCTTAGATGGGATCAGACCCCTATAATCATGAACGAAAACAGTTAATTTTGTAACGGACTTTTGTTTTCCATACACGCGGCTGGTTTGTATACTTGGATACAAATCTAAGCAGGCACTTGCACTTTAGAACCCACAAGTTTTCGGGAGTTAAAACGGAAAGTAGAGGAAATTTTCATTTCTTACATAAATTCAAAAATATATCAGCCTTCACAGCCCCATGAGACACCGCAAACTACAACACGAGCCTAGTTACAAAACCAACAGTTAAACATTAACATGCTGCAGGTTCAGCAAGTGATCACGGAGTTAGGACTCGGCCGTGTAGCGCACAGCATGATCGGCGGGCAGTTGTTTCGTGGCGTGTCCGGAGGCGAACGGAAACGAGTCAGCATTGGGCAAGAGATGTTAGTCAACCCAAGCCTGTTGTTGCTGGACGAGCCAACATCAGGGCTAGACTCCACAACGGCGCAGAGAATCGTGACGATCCTGAAAAGGCTGGCAGAAAAGGGTGGGAGGACGGTGGTGACGACGATACACCAGCCATCGAGTAGACTGTACCATCTGTTCGATAAGGTGATTCTTCTGTCGCAGGGGTCGCCAATATATTACGGTCGAGCATCAGCGGCGCTTGAGTATTTCGGCTCTGTTGGGTTTGTGGCTCCTGTGAGCGTTAATCCGGCCGATCACATGCTTGATCTTGCCAACGGTAAGTAGAAAACCCTACAAGGTTCATTACTATTGCATATGAAAGTATGGTAAGGACATAAAAAACCATAGGGTGTACAGGATGCTGGCGTGTTGCTGATGTAGCACACATCCGGACACCACATCCATGATTAACGACAATATGTTCAAATCATAGTTAATGGTCTTACACCAGCATCAACACGCGTACTAAGAACGAGGAGGGACACACCGTCCCCGTTTACTGAAAATTACATCGAGCAGAATTCTAAACTCTGAATTCAACGGAGATTTGAGAGGAAAAAACTTATAGAAATTATTTGGAACTAGTTTTACACTGGATATCAGCCAGTGTAGTTATATTACATGTATTTGTTCTTATATAACTGGTAAGCATTAGAATGAAACTGTTACTAATTCTATTCTTTTTTTTTTTTCGGGTCCAGGGATTCCGCCAGATTCAAACCCTGCAACCATGGACCAGGTTGATGGCAAGGCATCAGAAGAGGAGCAGAGATTGGTAAGAAAAGAGCTCCTCTCTGCATACGACCGCGTCATTGCCCCTGCTCTCGAAGCAGAGCTCCGCAGCACCGAGAGCAACAACTACAACGGGTGCAAGAGAGATTCACCGAGCCACAGTAAGCCATTTCCCGCCAAACTTTATCACACCAATTGGTTTCTATCTATACCTCGTGGGCGCAGGAGGTAACTCAAAAAAAAGAAAAAAACTTTGTGGCCGTAGGAGGGAAGATGGAACGATGGAATACGAGCTGGTGGGAGCAGTTCAGGGTGTTGCTAAGTAGGAGTCTTAAGGAGAGGCGATACGAGGCCTTCAACAAGCTCAGGATCTTTCAAGTTATAAGCGTTGCTGTTCTTGGGGGCTTGCTTTGGTGGCATACATCTCCAAACAACATCCAAGACAGGGTATGTCGACTTCACTGAACTCCTGTTTTCACATGCGGTAACTAGAGCGTTCGCAATTACAGTTGCACGCGATCGCGACGTTTTTTTTACCAGTTGCAGCCTTTTGTTTTACCGCGAGAAATACTTGCGGTTGCGAAATGATATCCGACCGCACCAATGATTTATGCAGATTTGAGCGTGAGTAGTTGTTTGATTCACTTCAACTATAACTGAAATGCTATTGCAATGAAATGTCATTGATTTTTTTAAATCACGAGGACAAGGGGAAAAAGTTAATAGCATTTCAGTTCTGACAAGTTCGAAGTCATAACAAACAGGTAACTACCACTGCAACTGCAAGCGGCAAAATTTTAGATTAAGCTGAACAAATGAAATTGCATGCGCTAGCAGTTGCAACGTTTGAAACTCAATCAATTTACATTATCGCAGATTGCCCTCCTCTTCTTCTTCTCGGTCTTTTGGGGCTTCTTCCCCCTCTACAACGCTGTGTTCACCTTCCCCCAAGAACGGCGAATGCTCATCAAAGAACAATCATCCGCAATGTACCGCCTATCGTCCTACTTCCTCGCTCGCACTGCAGGCGACCTCCCCATGGAGCTCGCCCTCCCAACCGCCTTTGTCATCATCATCTACTGGATGGGCGGTCTCAAACCTGATCCGTTAACCTTCATCCTCTCCCTCATTGTCGTCCTCTTCAATGTGCTTGTTTCTCAGAGCCTCGGGCTTGCAATTGGCGCCATTCTTATGGATGTCAAGCAGGCGACAACTCTTGCGTCGGTAACCACACTTGTCTTTCTTATTGCTGGTGGATACTACGTGCAGCAGATACCTGTGTTCATAGTTTGGTTGAAGTACCTTAGCTATAGTTTTTATTGCTATAAGTTGCTGTTGGGAGTTCAGTTTGAGGATGATGATGAGTATGAGTGTTCGAGTGGAGTTATGTGCAGGGTGGTGGACTATCCGGCGATTAAGTCTGTGGGCTTGAAACATATGTGGGTGGATGTGTGCATAATGGCACTTATGCTTATTGGGTACAGACTCGTTGCTTTTATGGCTCTCCACCGTCTGAAGCCGAGGTGAAAAACTGAGAGAAACTAGAACCGTCGATGAGATGACTGTGACAAAAGAAACATATAATGGATGTGTAACATTAATCAGAAATATCTCGGAAATAAAATGAACCAAACAAAAGAAACAGAAATGAGTGGAATGTTTCAGGTGAAGAAGTTCAGGTTCCATTGCAAAGCTATGAGGAGGAGATTGTTACTGAAGCCTGGATAGCTAAGAGATGATTTTGTTTCCTACGTATGAAAGAAGGGCTACAAAAATAATCATTCAGAAGAAGACATTTAGAGAAGTAAGCATGAAAAATATACAAGAAGAAAACGTAACATGGCACAGTAAAAATATTCAGTATGAGTTTCATTAAAGGCCCTGATAATGCCAGAAAAAAATGTACATGCTTTTTGTGCAATATGCAAATAACAGTTTGTTGGGTTTACATATAAAAATATAAATGGAACCTGGCACAGTAAAGAGAGGAGATAGCATTGCAGGAAGCATTTCTTCATGATTTACTTCCCATCTTGTAAGCCTAGCTCAAGGAACTGTTCCTTAAAAAAAAGTTGGGAAGATATATAACAGCTTCTGACATCTCATTTACAAGTTCTTCAACTCCTAACAATATGTCCAATAAACAGAACATGTACCACTTTAATAGTAAGATTGCAATAACATCGCAACATTGCGTGATTTGAATGTATGGAAACCTCAAGGTGCAAATACCATGTTTTGAAAGAAGCCTCAAGATGATTTTCACAACCCTCAACCATCAACGCAACTTCAGAGTTTTGGTGCAGAGACGGAGTTTTTGTGTAGTGGCAGAGATTTGTAAGATGATATCGGGGCATGTCCTGAATTAAAATGGTGATGGGGAGACCATTGTCCAAAATTGATGTGCTCGCTGGAAGGCAAATGTATTGCAACCCAAAGAGTATATTTTCAACGATGCAGCTGAATGCTAGTACTGGTGTATACAGAGATAAATAAAAAGCGAAAAGGTAGTCAAGCTTAAATCCCCAAATCTATATAGGATGTCTATCAATGATTTTACACAAACTTACTCATACATTTGTTCTTCTTACGTCTAATGTACCATGTGAGATAATAGAAGAGAATGTACCATGTGAGATAGTATGACAGCAAGACTTTAATCACCAGCCTGCTAACAATTAAGTTCATAAAACTAGTCATCAATAACTTAAATGTACTGTGCAAATATCCCCGTGTGATCTAAATGGATCTTTAAATCCCAATAATTATACATAGATGACAAATGAGCCGACATAAACATTGACCAGTGATCTGACGAAGTTCTCAGATCTTTATTGATGACAAATGAGCCGACATAAACATTGACAAATGAGCCTTTCCCTGCATTTGTTCTTCTCACATCTAATGTTGAGCTCTTGTTTTGAATCAAGGCGGACACAAAACTCTTATGTATCTGAATCAGTCTTATAAATCAAGAGGAATACGAATCGAACTCAGAAATACTTGACGTACACATTTGACATCCTATACCTGTAATTAAAAGCTGAAAATAGAACATGTGATATCTCATTAGACAGAGTCACAACTATGAACCGGAATCATCAAGTAACTTTGTCACAAGCATACAAATAGTAAGATTGTGATGGATGAACTTTTAACTGTAAAGAGTTTATTCGGAGATGCTCATCATTTACATTTACAATCCATTCTCTAGTCTTAAAATTTTTTATGATCTATTTCGAGTTCAGAGAAGAAACTCGAGCGTTTCCAACTACCATCATTTTAGTGGGGATTCGGATCCTCTCCGCTACAAAAAAGCAGTGGAGGGACCATAATATTTGTTAGGATTTAATAGAGTTCATCTGTGGAATTAGACACGAGAAACAAATAACGACACCAAGAAAAATATCACAGCAAGCAAACACCAAAATTTAATGTAGCATGCAAATTTATCTATGTCTGTGGGGGCAATTTAGAGAGAAATATTGTTCTATGAATCAAGAGTACAAATCCTAAAAGCTACAACCAATCTTGAGCATTTGATCACAAGAGAAAATATAGTATTACCTCTAGGACATCAAAATCCTAAAACCCATCTCCACTCCAAATCTCTAATCCCCACGAAGAAACCACTAATGTATATTTAACGACGTCGTCATTCTGAAGAAAACGACATCTAAATCATTACAAACGGATAACCGAGGCTCTGTCTCCTCACAAAAAGCGATTACAGGGTTCTCTCGAAACCTATCATTCTTAAGTAACAAATATTTTCCTCTACCCCTCCAAGCCTATTCCAATTAAGTATAGGCCCTGTACGTGTGGGGGCCACACGTGAAGACAATTGTGACTGAGGTGAAGCAAACCGCGTGCGCGTGAACCGTTTAACGACGTCGTCATTCTGAAGAAAACGACATCTAAATCATTACAAACGGATAACCGAGGCTCTGTCTCCTCACAAAAAGCGATTACAGGGTTCTCTCGAAACCTATCATTCTTAAGTAACAAATATTTTCCTCTACCCCTCCAAGCCTATTCCAATTAAGTATAGGCCCTGTACGTGTGGGGGCCACACGTGAAGACAATTGTGACTGAGGTGAAGCAAACCGCGTGCGCGTGAACCGATTTCTGCAAAGAAAAAAAAAACAAAACAAAGAACGGAGCCCACGAATTATGTTACCAGGCCCACCCGAAGAACAAAAGCCTATATATAGGCTTTTGTTTCCTAGGGCAGGGTGCGTGAGGTGGGTTTGTTTTTCCGTTCGGCGTGGGATTTCTTCACGCGGCTGCAGGAGGTTGATTTGTTGGTTTTTCCTTTGTGCGGCTGGGGATTTCTTTTTGGAGCGCAGAAGGAGGCCTGCAGTGTACAGGGATTTGTTTTTTTTTCGGTTGATTTTATCCTTTTGTAGAGAGATATTGTGAGGGATTTGAGAGTTTGTTTGAGGGTTTAGATTGAGAGTGATTGTAAACCCTAGTTGTATTCTCTCCCTCTAATAGTAAATCTCCCCCCTTCTTGCCCCGTGGACGTAGGCAATTTGCCGAACCACGTAAAATTGGTTGTACTGCTATTTGGGTGATTTATAATAGCTTTTTAGGTTCCCTCGACGCGCAGTCCTAGAGCTGACGAGAGGAAGAGCTAATATCTCACTTTGATGAGATATTAGACTTCAGATTCTTGTTCCCTTTGAGAAACCTTACCGGATGAGGAGTATGATACCTTCGTGCTCACTTTGTTGAACGGGAGATCTTCTATCAGCTATAGTGAAGTGACTAACGCATTGACCAACTATGATTTGAGGAGGAAGGACAAGGAGACTTCCCGCGCTAGTACTTCAGGAGAGGCCTTGTCGACAAGAGGTAGAAGCCCATATCCGAAAGGTGGTAACAGAGGGAGGTCAAAGTCTAGAGGCCGCCACCAATTAACAAAGAACCAATGTGCATTCTGCAAGGAGCAGGGACATTGGAAGAGAGACTGCCCGAAGCTCAAGGAGAAAGAGAATGGCAAGAAAAAGGGCCCGAAGGCCAATGAGGTGAACATTGCGAAAGGCGATGATTCCGATGATTCGTGCTTTTCTCTACTGATTACTCCGGAGGTGAACCATGTGGATGCATCAGATTGGATGCTTGATTCCGGCGCTACCTTTCATGTGACCCCTAGGCGAGACTGGTTTGCATCTTTTGAGAAAGTCGATGGGGGCGTTGTTGTCATGAGAAATGATCAATCCTGTGGTGTTTGTGGGATAGATACCGTGCGGATTAGGATGCACGATGGAGTAGTCTGTGAGTTGAAAGAGGTGAGATTTGTTCCTCAACTGAAGAAAAATATTATCTCAGTTGGAGCTTTGGAGGCGAAGGGATTCAAGGTGGCTTTCGAAAACGCTGTAGCGAAGGTTACTAAGGGATCATTGGTGGTGATGAGGGGAGTCCGCAATCGGAATTTGTATTATCTGAAGGGAAGCACCGAGATTGGCCAGGTTGCTTCGGCTATTTCAGAAGCGGACATGAGCAGACTTTGACACTATAGATTGGGGCACATAGGTGAAAAGTCACTGTAGGCATTGTGCAAGCAGGGGCTATTGAAGGGAGCCAAGAGTGGGAAGATTGAGTTCTGTGAGCACTGCATTGTGCAAGCAGGGGCTATTGAAGGGAGCCAAGAGTGGGAAGATTGAGTTCTGTGAGCACTGTGTTTTTGGCAAGAAGACGAAGGTGAAGTTCGGGACTGTCATTCATTAGACGAAGGGCATCCTGGATTACGTGCACACAGACGTTTGGGGTCCTACCAAGACTGCATCACTTGGTGGTAGACATTGGTTCGTCACTTTTGTAGATGACTATTCTAGACGTTGTTGGGTGTACACCATGACGAAGAAGAGTGAAGTCCTAGATTTGTTTGTGGAGTGGAAGAAGAGATTGGAACTGCAGACTGGGAGAAAGATCAAGACGTTGCGATCCGACAACGGTGGTGAGTATACTTCTGACCCCTTTTAGCAGCTATGTCGAGACGAGAGCATAGAGAGACACTTCACGGTTAGTCATACACCGCAGCAAAATGGGGTGGCAGAGAGGTTGAATCGGTCTTTACTGGAGAAGATCCGATGCTTATTGTCGCAGAGTGGTTTAGAGAAGATCTTTTGGACTGAGGCACTTACATATGCGAGCCACCTCATTAATAGGCTGTCTTCATCTGCGATTGAGGGGAAGACCCCTATAGAGATGTGGTCGGGAAAGCCAGCACATGACTATGATCAGCTCAAGGTATTCGGGTGCCCTGCATATTATCATGTTAGAACTGATAAATTAGAACCTCGAGCTAGGAAGGCCATATTTGTGGGATTCAAGCGTGGTGTCAAGGGATACAAGCTTTGGGATCCAGTGGATAAGAAGATTGTGCTGAGTAGGGATGTCACATTCGATGAGACTTCTATCTTGAAGCTTCCCAGCTCTTATCAGGTGGAGAGCAACCCGACGGAGGAGATATCGCAGGTGGTGGAGATCGATGCAGCTCCACATTGTCCAGATGGTACAGTATCCATGCAGGTGCCGACTGAGGTGACACCAGGCGAGCACGACGGTGACACGGAGGATACGAGTACAAATATGCAGGATCAGGAACCGACGGCTCAGGTTCGGGATTTAATTGCGGTTCGGAGACAGAGGAGAAACATACAGATGCCAGCACGGTATGCCGACACAGTTGCGTATGCACTTCCGGTGGAGAGTATCGATGAGTTAGTACCTACTACTTTCAGAGAGGCCGAGCAGAGTTCGGAAGCTGATTCGTGGCAGATGGCTATGCATGAGGAGATGGAATCTCTTCATAAAAACGATACATGGGAGCTTGTTGAGCTTTCAAACGGGCGAAAGACAATTGGTTGCAAGTGGGTATACACGAAGAAGGAGGGCATTGAGGGCACTTCATTGAGGTTCAAGGCTAGGTTGGTTGCGAAGGGCTATGCACAGGAGGAAGGTATTGACTATAATGAGGTTTTCTCTCCGGTGGTGAAGCATTCTTCGATTCGGATTTTGCTAGCTTTGGTGGCACAGTATGGTTTGGAATTAGATCAGTTGGATGTGAAAACGGTATTTCTTCATGGTGATCTTGATGAAGAAATACATATGACTCAGCTATTGGGATTCCGAGTTGTAGGGAAGGAAAAATTGGTTTGCAGACTGAAGAAATCGCTATACGGTTTGAAGCAGTCTCCTCGACAGTGGTATAGGCGATTCGATGGTTTTATGATTGGTCATTCGTACACTCGGAGCCAGTTTGATCCTTGCGTATATTTTCGCAAGTTAAAAGGAGGTGCGTACATCTATTTGTTACTTTATGTCGATGACATGTTGGTTGCCTCTACTTCCAGGTCAGCTATAGATGAGTTGAAAGTTCAGCTTTCAAATGAGTTTGAGATGAAGGACTTGGGTGAGGCGAAACGCATTCTAGGGATGGAGATCGGCAGAGACAAGAAGAATGGC